GTCACTTAAAGAGGCGTAGCAGGACTGGTAACCTGGAAACCAGGTAGAGTGGGGGATGAGACAGGAGTGGGAAATTAAGAAGTGAAGTCAGTGACTATGACACATAGCTTGCTTGCTTGCTCAGGAACTGTATGTAAAGACAGCTTAAGTGGCTGTGCCCTCCCACCTCACATAGTTCTAATCACATGGCAAGAAAGGCCTGGCAATTTGACAGTTGTGTTTGGTAAAGATTAAATAAATGAGTCTAATCATGGGGTGCCAAGCCTTTAAGGTTTTGCTCAGGGATTCCTCCTTGACTTTAACTTTTCCTTTAACTATTTTCTTTCTTGTCTGTTTAATGTTGAAAAAGGTTTAGGTGCTGAGTTTCCTATAGATTCCTTCATATCCCATTTTGAAAAGCTGGCTCAAACCACTTCCTGCTTTGCTCATTAAAAAAATAATAGCTCTTATTTACATAGCAATCAGGATTCCATCAAGAAATGCTGTGTACATTAAAAAAACAAAACAAAATAAGAAACGCTGCGTGCATTAAGTCTGTCTTGATGTTGTTCTAATAGTAGAATAACAAAGTTGGTCCAGTTTAAATACAGGGGTGTGGGGGTGGAGAGGTGCCTTGGTCCTGCCTCAACTAGATGATGGGACAGACTTAGTAGACTTCCTAATGGAGGCCTTACTCTCTTCGAGGAGCTGATGGGAGAAGGAGGGAGTGGGGAGAGTGGAAGGAAAGGAGGGAGGGGGAATTGGGATTGGAATGTAAAAAATAAATCAACAATAAAAAAGAATAATAAAGTTGTGATTTTGTTTATCTCTCCAAAATTTAGTGTTGTTGTGCAAACTTGTAACAGATGGGGGAAGCTGGGCTTCCAGAATCAAAGACTGGACTTTGTATCCCATGGCACTTGAGAAATTTTATTGAATGACTAGTTATTTCACGGGCCCTCGCACACTCGAAATGACTGCCCAAGAAGGCATATTGAAGAAGTAAATATAGTCAAAAGACTGATTGAAAGGTTTCTTGGGCAGCTTCTGATATTCAATGGCGCACACGATAAAGCTGACATTGTTAAATTTGCCTGGCTTACAGGTTTTGCATCACTGTGAGATCTTAAGCTGCATCATGCTTGCTTCCAAAAACATGCACTCTTACATATTTAGTATTTTCTTGCCTTGTCTGTCATTTTTGATGGCTGAGTACTTGGTCATAAGAAAGCTATTCATTCTCAAGCAGCAAAGACTCTGGGAGTGAGTTCATGGTATGTTTGAGACGGACGACATGCTTAAGGGGTTTCAAGGGCTTTCATTTCAAAGGTAGAAACACGAAGACAAAAATGTTATCAAAGATTTCATACAAATGTTGAACATGAAGCGTGCAGGCACCTCACCTCACTGGGATGTATACACAGAAGTAGAATATTTGTGGAAATGATCATGTTGGTAATTCCTTGTTTATTTTCTTGAGGAATTGCTACTATTTTCCAAATTTGATGTACATAATTATTTTCCTCAATTCTTTTAAAGACAAGATCTTGCTACATAGTATGAACTAGACTCAAACACATAATGATCCTCCTGTCTCAGCCTTTCTTTTTTTGTCTCTTTCTTTTTCATTTTTAAAAAAATTAATTAATTATTTTTTTGTTTTTCATGACAGGGTTTCTCTGTATTGCTTTGGAGCCTGTCCTGGAACTAGCTTTGTAGACTGGGCTGGTCTTGAACTCACAGAGATACACCTGCCTCTGCCTCCCAAGTGCTGGGATCAAAGGCGTGTGCCACCAAGGCCAGGCTTCTTTTTTATTTTTTAAGACAGGGTTCTTACTGTGTAGCTTTGGCTGCCTGGAATGAAGTAGCTCAGGCTGACCCCAAACTCAAAAGAGATCCACTTGTCTCTGCTGAAATGAAAAGAATTGAATACCACTATGCCAGCTTTACTAGCCATTTTGTGTGTGTGTGTGTGTGTGTGTGTGTGCTTGGGGGTTTTGTTGTTTTATTGAGTTTTGCTTTGCTTTGTTTGAGATAGGATCTTGCTGTATAGCCTTGAAGATTTTTATTGGGGTGGGGTGGGGGGGGTGTGTGCTTCCCAACAGGGTTTGTCTGTGTAACAGAGTCTTAGCTGTCCTGGAACTCACTCTGTAGAACAGGCTGGCCTCAAACTCTGTAGAGATCTGTCTGACTCTGCCTCCTGAGTGCTTGGATTAAAGGTGTGGCTGAGCCCTGAATTATTAATGTAGATCAGGATGGTCTTAAATTTTGTATTGGAACTATACTATGGACTACTAAACCTAGCACTCACCTTTTTGCTACTATTCCAAGAGGTGTTACTAGGCATCTTATTGTGGCTCTAATTTACATTCTCTGATGGTTAGTGGTTTTGAGTACCTCTGCAAAACCTCTTTTCCACAGCACCTGTCCTTTGGTAAAAGGCCTGTTTAGCTCTTTTCCCACAGCTGATTAGGTTATTATTATTACTTGCTATGGAGTTGAGTTCTTTATATTCCCATGCTTATTTTAGCATTATGTATAGTAGCTACGAGCAGTTAGTGTCCATTGAAAGACCCGCAGAGGGCGTGGACCCTCACGCCCTGACTCAGAAAAGGTGCCCCCCCCCCAAATCACTCACGAGAAGCGGTCTTAATGCAAAAGCATGAGGTCTTTTATATTCCAGTGCACTGGGGCCAGCAGCCATACTCCACGTGGGGTAGAGGACTGGGAACCCTGGGTGCAGGGTTTAGACAGCTTTTATAGGGTTACAACAAAGCCCGCACATCACAAACCAATCATCTCATAGTATCCAGTGTGGACCAACCAATTTGAACTATCCAAGCCTGCACTTCGCTCAGGAAGTCTGCTTTCACTAGGGCTTCTGGGTGGTGTGACAAGGCTCATTTCCTGTGTTCATTCACTCACAGGTGCTGTCCTAAACCTCCCTGTCACGAATGTGACCTTTTGCCTACTCACTGCTAGGGGGCAGAGTCTAGGGAGAGTTAGGCTAAATTTTCCATCCTTATACCATCAGTGGATGAACAAACTATGTAGTACACATGAGAGTGTGTACACCCCTCCCCCCCAAGTCTCTGCAGGCTTATAAGGAAGGGGATGCTGGCACCTGAAACACAGCTGTAACTGGACCACACCATGCTGAGTGGAATGAGACAAGTGCAGATAGAGAACAGTGTGAATGCACTTGTGTAAAATTTAAAAGGCCTATCTCATAGAACCTGTAGAAAAGTGGTAACCAGAGGCTGGTGGGGGCAGAGGAAGGCTGGGAAAAGGAAAATTGGTCAAAGGGAACCAAGTTACAGTTTGAAAAGTTTTATTGACTATGGCATTGCATGGAGAATGCCGTTTATATACCATGTATTTTGAGGTTACAGATTGTTTTCAAACATTCTCATAAGGAAAAGTTAAGCTGTTGAGATAATGGATATAGTAATTTGAATCTTACTAAAAGTCTATATAGACTGAAAACATCACATTGTATCCCATCATTATTAATGAATTAAAAATAAGACTGAAAGGTTGGTTGTGATGGCACAGGCTTTTAATCTCAGCACTAGGAAGGCAGAAGCAGGTTGATCTCCATGTAACTGAGTCCATCCTGGTCTATACATCGAGTTCCAGATCAGCTAGGAACACAGAGACCCTTTATCAAAATAAAAATGCATTTCCCCCCAAATCGAAACAACAAAAAATGAAAAGATGACATTGTCAGCTCCATGGATGCCTGCCACAGGCATAGACTGGGCCTTAATGCATCTTTGTACACCTAATGTCAAGCTCAGCTTTGAAAATTGTATGTAAATGGAAACTTACTTGGAATTTGGAACTGTGTGTAAAGGACACCAGGAAAACCACCTTAGAAACAGAAAATGTATCAGGTGGTGGTGACACATGCCAGGCCTTTCATCTCAGCACTCAGAAGGCAGAGGTAGGCGGATCTTATACAGAGCAAGTTCCAGGACAGGCTCCAAAACTACTACATCTGTCTCGGAAAAAACAAAAACAAAAACAAAAACAAAAACAAAACCCACCACCACCACTACTAAAAAACCAAAGAGAGGTTAGGAGAGAGAAAATGAATCTGATTCTAGAAAAGATAAGTATGAACTGTAATATAGATTTAATGAAGTCATTCCAGATAACCAAGGAGGCCCCATATTATCTTAGTATGAGTATAAAGCATGCTATAGATAACTGCCTGTCCCCATTTCCACTTACAAAACGAAAGTGTGGTCTTAACCTTGCTCTGGCTGTGAAATGTGCCTAGATCGCAGAAAACACATTGTTATAGATAAATTTGAAGTTGAGAACACGCTGAACTAACATCTTCCCTATACTGGTTTAACAAAAAACATTTATCAGTTATTAATTATATATTTATAATAAGGTTTAACTCTACAGCCCAGGCGGTTCTGGATGTAGCTGGTTTAGAAATTGAGCAATCTTGCTGCAGCAGCCTCTGGCATGCTTGGATTATAGGCGTAAACCGCGACGCCCAGCCCCCTTTGAAACCAATTTCACCTGTTCTCTTTCTAGTTAGCATAGCCACTAGAAAACCCTAAATAGTTTGTGCGACTGTGCTTCCCCAAGATGAACTCCCAACACCCTTTGGGCTGTAGGTAGCGGAAGCACGGCAGGCACGTAACCCAGGCTCGATTTCCTCCTAGTGAGAAGGGGCTGGGTCGGCGTGAGGTCAGGGGCGAGTGGGCTGGACAGCGACAGCCCGGAGCAGTGGCTCCGGGGAGGCTCCGAACCCGGAAGGACCGGGTCTCGGCGCGGGCGGAGTCTGCGGGCCAGGTGTCCCGAAGGCGGGTGCGTGAGCGGGGTGTTCAACAGGCAGCCGCCCGAGGCTCGCGTGGGCAGAGGCGCGCGCCGCCGCACGTCCGCAGGGGAGGCGGGAGCGCGGAGGGCAGGGGGGAGGGGGCGGAGCGCGAGGCGGGGCGGGGCGGGGCCGGCGCGGGCTTCTTCTGCGGGCGCGCGGCCTGCGCCCTGGAGCCGGGGAGAGGGCGGCGGCGGGCGGCGATGGGCCGCGGCAGGGACTTGCTCGTCGGTCTCCTGGCTGCTGTGTGGCTACTGTGTTCTGGCAACGGCGAGGAGCGGCAGCGGGGGACTGCAGCGCAGCGCTGCTTCTGCCAGGTGAGGTGCGCGCGGCCGGCTTACGGGCTGCGCATCCCCGGGCTCGGGCGACCCCCGTGCGCGGCCCCGACTGCGTTCCAGGTCGTCCCGGGCCGCGGGAACCTGCGATGGGCCAGTTTGTCGTACAGAGTCCCTGCATCCTGCAGTGGTGGCTCCGCGTAGTGAAGTCGGGTTCACAAGACTGGGGCTTCTGAGTGGACCCGGCACCTGGACACCTCGTGCGCGCTGTGTCCTGGGCATCCCCAGCCTTCCGGCTCGGGATCGACTCTGGGGGGCTTGCTGTCGTTGTCAGGAGGTTGAATGACCTTGTGTGGCTCTTTGGATGCCCTGGTCCAAAACTGCCTGGTGTCTTTGCGGCCGTTGTTGTCCAATGACTCCTCGGCCTGTGTGTATGGTGCACTTTCTTCTTCCTGAGCTTGTTCTCGCTCGCATTCTGACACTCCTTAGCGGTTCGAATCCTAGGCAGGCCCCAGCTTCAGTTTAATTATGAGCTGTGATTATTTATTTTTATAGATGTGGGTTCTGTGAGCAAAACATTAAAAGCTTTTTTGGTAATGTAGCCTGTTAATTTTGTATAAGGCCATTACGTTAGATGCAGTGAAATAAGTCCGAAATTCATTTTTTCAGTCTTCAGAAAATGCCAACAGATAGCTTGGAAACATCCAGAAGAACCTGGAATCAGTCGATGTGCTAATTTGTTAAGTGCGTCCTTGTAAAGTTCTGGAAAAACGTTTGGCTATTAGTGGTCCCCTGCCTTTCTTCTGTTTAAAACTATATCAGATCTTTCTACTATTGAGTTATTTGATACGTAAATTGTATTGCTATACAGGTGTTCACAAGCACGCTTCGTGCTGGCTTGCTCTCTTTCCTCCTCCCCTTGTTCGTTACTGTTCTTTACAGTGTTTAAAATATTGGCTTACTTATTTTGTGTGTCTGTGTATTGTACGTGTGGGTGTAGGCATAGCGAGGACTAGGACTGCTTGAAGTGAGGACAGCTTGCAGGAATCTTTCTTCATCCTCCAGTGGGACCCAGGAATCTACCTCAGGCCCTCAGTGGGACCCAGGAATCTACCTCAGGCCCTCAGGCTTGGCAGCAAATGTCTCATTGGCTTTTGTTACTCTTTAAAGCCACCTTTTGGTGGATTTCGGAAATTGTATTTATAAAAAGTGGAGGGATAAACAGCCAAATCATTCGTGGGTCTTACTGTTCATGACCAGAAAAAAAATATGTTGCCGAGTATGATACTTTAATGTTGTTATATCAACATTTGATGTTCGGAGGAAGAGGCATCATCTCACGGCTTTAAATTTTGGATTTTAGGCTTTAAATTTTGGATTTTATTGTTTTGAGTAATTTGGGTGAGTTGTTGGGGGAAGTTCCTTTGATCACAAATGTCAGGAATACAAAGTTTAAATTTTTTATTTATATGTATGTGTCTATATAAGTACATATGTCTGTGGGGATGCCCTCAGAGGTCAGCTGGAGTTACAGGCAGTTGTGAACTCACAGTATGGGTGCTGGGACTAGAACTCAGTCCTCTGGAAGAGCAGCTCTTAACTGCTAAGCTATCTCTCCAGCCAGGTATACAAAGTTTCAACATCTAAACGCTTAAAAGGCAGGAAAAAGCAACTTTTAACTGTCAGTGTTGAGAAAAGATACAAGGTGTTGCACTCAAGAAGGTTCTGGATGTTTGGATAATGATATAAAAATACTATTTGACTCTTCAACTTTTGTTCCCCACTCAACGTTTTTAGAGACCTCCTTTAAATTGAGGAACTTTTAATTACTTTTACATTTCTTCTGGATAGTAATGGAGTTTTTTTTTTGTTACATTATTTTCAGATTTATCTTTTATTTATTTGTTTGTTTATTTTGAGCCACCGTCTCTTGATATAGCCCTGGCTGTCATCCAACTCCTAGAGATCTGACTGCCTCAGCCTCCCGACTGCTGGGATTAAGAGTGAGAGTCATTATGCCCAGCTGGCCCTTATTTATTTTTAAGATTTAATTATTTTTCTTTGACATGTATGTGTGTCTGCCCACCTGTATGTGCACCTCATGCATGTGGTGCCTGAGTAGGTAGGAAGAGGATGTTGGATTCCATGGAACTAGAGCATGAGCCACCATGTGGGTTCTGGGAATAGAACTCAGGTACTATGGAAGAGCAGTGCTTTTTTTGAACCACTGGGCTATCTCTGCAGCCCCCAATAATCTCAGATTTAAATAGTCCCTAATACAAAAAAAAAAAAAAAAAAAAAAAAAAGGAAAAGAAAGAAAAAAGAAAAGAAAATCTGTTAAGTCACGTTCTTTATAGGGAGGATTTCTGGTTAATAGTACATTAGCCTAATTCAGTGGGGCTTTCATGTCTATACTCAGCCTGGGGCAACCTGAGCTTCCTCCAGAATTTAGCCTTGCTAACAGCAGAAATAATCAAAATGGTCTTTGTTTTTCTTTTTTCCTCCTTCCTGCTGTCCAGCCCTCCTACCACATTACCACTGTGCTTTGTACTGTTGTGTGAGTAGTCAAATGGTCTTAGGTTTTTCTTCTTCTTTCTCCTTCCTGCTGTCAGTCTTTCTCACCACTTCTGCCTTTGGTTACCACATCACCACCCTGACTTTCCCTGTTGTGTGAATATAATATCTAGTTTGTAGACGGGGTTCAGCTCACAGGCTCTCTCTGAGTCAGAGCAGTATGTAGCCATTTGACCTTAGAAAGTCATTGCAGTAAAATGTACAGAGCGTGCAAGCAATAAGATTAACTTTGATAAGCATTCTACAGGACACTTCATCAATGAAGTGTTGAGAGATCAAACTGAGTTAAATGGTTTTCAAACCTGCCTTATGATTTCAGCGTGTCTTTGGTTTTCTGTTGCTGTGAAGAGACACCATGACCATGGCAACTCTTATAAAGGAAAACATTTCATTGGTGGCTTACAGTTTCAAAGGTTTAGTCTGTTGTTACCATGGTGAGACATGACAGCCTGCTGGCTGGAAAAGGAGCTGAGAGTCCTGCATCTTGATACACAGGCAACAGGAAGTGGACACTGAATGTGGCTTGATCATATCCAAGATCTCACAGCTTACCTCCACAGTGACACACTTACTCCAACAAAGCCACACCTCCTAATAGTGCCATTCCCTATGAGCTTTTGGGGGCTAATTCATTCACACTGCTGCATAAGATGTCAAAATATCATTTGGTTTAGCCAGCTGTTTGCATTGTTTGCTGGGATTGGACTTTTTGATGGATTGATAGCGCTGATGTGTCTTTGGGGTTGGTCAGTTGTTACTACATATATCTATTTCAAGTCCTTTTAAAATGATTTTCACTGTATGTTGTAAATTTTTTTTTTCTCCTTCGTCTTTCACAAATACTGTTTCACTGTGTAGTCGTGGCATTCCTGGAACTCATTCTGTAGACCAGGCTGGCCTCAAATTCTCAGAGATCTGCCTGCTTTTGTCTCCAGTGCTGGAATTAAAGGCTACCATCACCCAGCATGTTGTAAATTCTTTAAAAAAATTTTTTAGCTTTATTTTATTTTATGCATTTAAATGTTTTGCTTGTACGTATGGATGGGGGGAGGTAGCTGGGGTGGGGGGGTGAGGAGACACTCAGACACAGATGCCAGCTCCACAAACACATTTCGTTTCATTTCCAGTATATTGTAAACATATTCTCCAAACACGTGCCTCTGCAGATTTATTTATTCTGTCAAGTGTCCTGGTAAGTCAGTTTTAAAAATAGCTTTAATTGTTAGGCCAACTTGCTGCGCCGTGGAGAGGTGATTTGTTGAGTGAACAACAAATTTGAAATCGTCAGAGGGATCTTTGAAATAGGTTATTCTAGAGAGGTGGCCATTGACTCTAATTGCCTACTGCACCCCTGGCTTTATGAATAAAGAATATGGAAGAGATATTTGTATGAAGATGGTTGCTATCCTTTGAGTCTCTTCACAATGTGATGTGTTTTTATTTACTTCTTTAATTAAAAAAAGATATACTAATTTTATGTGTGTTTTGCCTGTAGTATGTCTGTGATGTACCTGTGGTGGTCAGACGAGGGCATTGGATCCTCTGGAACTGGAGGTATAGTTGTGGGCCACCATATTTGTGATTAAGCATACATATCATATTGCATTTGACTAAATAAGCTGTGGTCAGTGGAGAAAGTAACTTGAGGGCTCCACCCCCTGCCCCAGGCTAGTTTTCCACGAGCTGGTCCCTTATTCCACTGGGACTACTGCAATACTCCAGTATTAGAGACTTTGACCACAAACTAGGCCTGTAGTTTCCTCCCCATTAAATGTGGGCTGCTTTGGAGAGGAGTAGAGCATTTAAGGAGAGCTGGGTTAATAGCAATATTTAACATTTTTATTTTCTTTATTATTCTGATATAAAATCCATGATATTTAACATTTTAAGCATTTACTTTCTTAATTATATATAATTATACATACATACATACATACATACATGGTCCATCTATAAGTATACCTTTATGCCAGAAGAGGGCATCAGATCCTACTATAGACAGTTGTGAGCTGCTATGTGGTACTGGGAATTGAACTCAGAACCTCTGGAAGAGGAGCCAGTGCTCTTAGTGGCTGAGCCATCTCTCCAGCCCTGTGTTTATTTTCTTTAACCAAATCTGTGAGATGGGAATTACTACTTTATGGAAAACATAAGTGGCAGACTTGGACTTTAAACCTCAGTGGGACTAACTGCAGAGCTTGGTGGCTTGGAGGGGCTGCCCTCTGGAAACTTGAGTACCTTGAGAGGCTTTGCAACTCTCACACTTTAAAGTGGGTGTGGCTATGTGCTAGGCTGCATCACTCCTTCTATCTACCTGTGTGTAGTGAGTTTTTCTCTGTCCCATCAGCCAGTATCTTAGGCTTTATTTTTAGTTAGCTCTTGATACTTAAATTTCTATTAATCTATGTGCTGTCTTGAGGCTGTTTCCTTTACATACATACTGTCATCCTGCTTCCTCCCTGTCTCTTCACATCTCCTCCTTCTTCCCAGCATCCTCTCTGTGCCTGTAAATCCCACCTAGCTATTGGGCATTCAGCTTTTTATTAAACCAATCAGAATGACACATCTTTACACAGTGTAATCAAATATCTTACAACACCTACTGTCCCTCAGTTTGGGCCTTTTTACCTTCAATTATTAGTTTGGCTCCTACCCAAAGCTGGTTATCACTTGAAGTGCACTTCAGGTTTTAGTAGGTGTCAACCACTTTGGGAGGGGGGAAAGGAGGCTTTTTTAAAGTTTAGATTCCTGTGACAGGCAGAGTTGTGCTTTGCAGTGGGGAATGGTGTTGTGGTTACCCAAACAGCAGGAGCTGGGCTTCTGTCTCTTGTCTTAAAGGATGTTCTTTTGTTTCTAAGAGTCTGTGGCTTCTATTGGTGCCATTTCTGCCACAGCCCTTCCTTGTGACTGATTTGGTAACATTCCTTTTGTTCTCTAGTTTCTAGAACTAGACTAGCATCACACTTGTAAAACTTCTTCCAAGAATGGAGCTCTGCCTCACCTCATGGATTTCTAAGTGTCTCTCTGTCTCCACTGAGCCTGAGCTCTTTGCATCTATTAAAACCCTGTCATTTTTATTTTGTGTCCTTAGCCACTCTGCTACCTGTGGTTGTAGTGGAGAATACGGCCCTTGGTAAAGGGCAGAATGTTTAAGTCTTGCATGTGTGTGCCTTCTGTTCCTCTGTAGTCTCCTGGCCATGTGCCATCCCTGCTCAGGGGATCTTGCATTCTTTCCTGGCATGGAGTGTCCTTTGGTGCACTTTAGAATGACATGTGGGTGGACAGAAGGTGGGGCACAGGTTGTCCTCATTGTCTATGTTCCTTGCCTTGTGAGTGTGCTCTTGAGCTTGGGATACCAAGCACACATGTGTAGACAGTGCGTTATGTCTCAGTACAAACGGGGCAGCCCTCACTCATTTACCTGCCCACTCCATGAGTGATCCCTGAGATCTACTGTGTCACTTCCAGAAGCATAGTGCCACAGGCTGGTGACAGGGGTGAAAAAAAACATCATTTTTTTTTTTTTTTTTTTTTTCTGAAGGATTTTATACTGTAGTTGATGAGATAGGTACAGTCAGAAAAATGAGGCATTCTCACACTACAGTACTATGTAGAATGTTCTGGAAGCACCCAGAAGAGACAGTTGACCCTGAAATTGGAGAAGAGAGTGCATCCCAAAAGTGACAGTGCTTAGCCGTGTCCTGCAAGTTTATTGCAGGTTTATTTTCACTGTGGCAATGAGCTCCTGGGGCATTTGGCTTCAAGTTCAGGTTTTTGTTTTTTCTTTTGTCACTTGCTGTCTCTGGTTGCAGCTCTCCTTTTATTTAATCTTTGTGTTATTTCTGTGTCATTCTTTTTTAACATTCCTTTTTAATTCGAATCAAAGGTGAGAAATGGTAGGTGGTTTCTATCCTTACAAATTCAAAAGGAATGAAAATAGATAAGATAGAATATATGAATCAGATTTTTAGAAAATAAGCGAGACTAGAAAAATGAGTAAAAAGTGTTTGTTTTGGGACATTGCTATTAGTGTATTCTGGTTTTCAGGTGAAAAGTTTCTGTTACTGAATTTCAGTGTTCTTAAATTAAGATAAGATTTCACATACTACAAGGGTAAAATATTAATTCAGTATTTTAATGAGGGTTTATAACTTGCTTTCTTATTTTTAATATATATATATAGTATATGAAAAACCAAATACATATATATTTGATTACACAGAGACAGGGTTTTTCTGTGTAGCAGCCCTAACTGTCCTTGAACTCGATTTGTAGATCAGGCTAGCCTTGAACTCAAAGAGAGCTGCCTGCCTCTGCCTCCCAAGTTCTGGGATTAAAGGCATGTGCCACCACGCCTCACCTTTTGATTTTTCAAGACAGGGTTTCTCTGTATTGCTTTAGAGGCTGTCCTGGAGAACTAGCTGTGTAGACCAGGATGGCCTCAAACTCACAGAGATCCACCTACCTCTGCTCCCCAGTGCTGGGATCAAAGGCATGCACCACCACTGCCCAGCTCAGGCCTCACTCTTAAATATTTTTAATTATGTGTATGTGTATATGGGGTATGTGCATGTGAGTACCGTGCATAGGGAGGTCAGAAGAAAGCATTGGATCTGTTGGAACTGGAATTACAGGTGCTGTGAGCCACCTGATAGGGCTATTGGGAACTAAACTTGAGTCCTTCTTGTTTTGTTGCTTTATTTATTTATTTATTTATTTTTGAGGCAGGGTTTCTATGTGTGACAGTCCTGACTGTCCTGGGACTTGCTCTGTAGATCAGGCTGGTCTCGAACTCACAGAGATCCACCTACCAAGTACTGGGATTAAAGGCATGAGCCACCTCTACGACTACTCCCTGAGATTTGTGCTGCTATTTGTATAGGTGTGGGACTGCCTACCAGAGCATGGTCAGCCTACCAGGGACCACATCCCCAAAGAGAACTCTTCATAGCAGCTGTCACCAGCTCCTCAGTGAGGCCGGGCACACTTCCTTATTTTCAATGTAATTTACAGTGCAAAGACACCACACTGAAATACTGCAGGGTTCTTTTTTTCTGGTGTGATGTGTGTTCTTTTTTTCTGTTCTTCTTTTTTTTTTTTTTTTAAATAATTATGTACATACTCCTCCCTTCCTCCTTCTCTTCCTTCCTTCCTTTTTCGTTTTTCGAGACAAGGTTTTTCTATGTAGTTCTGGAGCCTGTCCTGGAACTCACTCTGTAGACCAGACTGATATACTTATGTCTTAGTGTTATATTATTTTATCAGGTATTTTCTTAGCTCCAAATAATGCCCAAAACTTTAAGTTTCACAGCCAGTAACATTAGCTGATTATAACTTCTCATTACATCCTGATGTAGAAAGTTAATAGCTTGATCTAGGAGGAAGGGTCAAGACATCAGTGCTAAGCATTTGTGGTCAGTTTATTATCCCAGTGTTGCTATGATAAGTGAGTTCTGAGCATCAATCCAAACCTAGAAAACCTGCCATGGCCCAATGAGTTACTGCTTGTTTCATTAATTGGTGTTACTTCTCTTTTTACACTCACCAAGCTGTCTCTGACCCACATAGCCTCTGAAAATGAGAGTGAGACAAAGCAAGTCCCAGGGAAACTCAGAATAAGAATCCAGCGCTGCTCTGGATAGCCAGGTGCAAATGGGAAATGGTCTCTAGAGAGTCCGTAGCATCTTTTCTGCCTTTGTGCATGTGCTCATCAGTCATATGATGGAATATGAAATATGATTTCAGTTTCCTTGTTTGTTGGTCCAGCCACAGGGAGACAGACCTCTCTCTTAATTTTAGTGCCATCCTTTGGTCAGATCAGCTGGGTCTTGGAGGGTAGGGCCAAAAGGTGGCTGCTAGGGGTCCAGTTCCGTCTTCGTCCGAGCTCAGCTGATTCTATAGAAATGCATTGTGTTGCTGTAGAGACACAAGACGAACAGCATCACTGTATTGTTGTTTCCTATCTTAGGAATCAAGAAAGGGTGGGACAGTAAGCTTGCTGAGTAGCATGCTTTTATTATTATTTTAAACAATAATTATGTGAGGAAAAGAACCATGTGGTATCTGGGACATTTAAATCTAATACTTATTTTCTTTTTAACAGGTTAGTGGTTACCTGGATGATTGTACCTGTGATGTTGAGACCATCGATAAATTTAATAACTACAGACTTTTCCCAAGACTACAAAAACTTCTTGAAAGTGACTACTTTAGATATTACAAGGTATTTTCAATTTTTATGATTTATTTATTTATTTATTTATTATGTATACAGTGTTCTGCCTGTATGTATGCCTGCATGCTAGAAGAGGGCACCAGATCTCATTTTAGATGGTTGTGAGGCACCATTGCTGGGAATTGAACTCAGGTCCTCTGGAAGAGCAGCCAGTGCTCTTGACCTCTGACTCATCTCCAGCCTGGGGAAGTTTCAATTTTTTATGTAAGTATGCTATAATGGATGATTATATTTTCTTAGAAGACTAAACTTTGGTACTGTTTTTGAAATTGGTAATTATTTAAATGTGTACAAAGTTTAAAAAATTAAAGAAAATTTAGTGAGCCGGTGTGGTGGTGCCTGCCTTTAATCCCAGCACTTGAGAGGCAGAGGCAGACAGATCTCTATGAGTTTGAGACCAGCCTGGTTCCAGGACAGTCAAAGCAACATAGAGAAACCTTGTCTTGAAAACTAAAATAAAACATATACTATTTGAATGCTTCTGCATAAAGGTGTGCAAGCCATGGCATGCCTGTGGTGGTAGTATGACAGCTTCATGAGTTGCCTCTTGCCTTTTGCCTGTATGTTGGTTCTGAGGTTCCAGCTCAGGTTGTCAGGCTTAAGGGCATCTTCATCTGGTGAGCCACTTCTGACTGTTAAAATGTATACCAAGTTTAGTAGGAAAACTTGGTTCACAAGTGAACTGTTTAGTTGAGAAACCACCCTGTGTGTGTGTGTGTGTGTGTGTGTGTGTGTGTGTGTGTGTGTGTGTGTATGTATGTATGTATGTATGTATGTGCGCACACATGCACCTGTGCCTGTGCCTGTACCTGAGGAGACGGGAGGGCAGCTATGGGTATTGTTTCTCAGGCACAATCCACTTGTTTATTCTAGACTTGGTTTTTCCCTGGCCTGAGCTCTGTCTGACAGGCCACATTGGTTGCCTTCTGTAATGCTGTCTCTGAGTCCCCAGCTCTGGGACTGCAAGTATGGGCCACCATGATTGCTTTCTATTTTCATGGCTTCTGGGAGGTAAACTCATGTCCTTGTAAACTCATACCAGCTGAACTCTCCACAGCTCTGATACTTTTCACTTCAATAATTTCTAGAGTTAGAAACGAACTGGTTAAACTGAAGTTAAAATGGAAATTGCTATATTGTTTTCAACACATTCTGTTGTTTTGTTAGCCATCAGATGTGCTCCAATTAAGATTAGTATAGAGCCTGTTTGGGGGGGGGGTCTGTGTCTCCAACCATGAGGCTTACCAGTTTCACCAGTCATGAGTTTATACAGTCAGTGAAACTTGACCAGTAACGGGAGAGACCATGTAATCTCTGATAAACCATAGCCACTACCTGGGAGCGTGATTCCAATAGTTGGTTGTATTCTCAGGGCTTTATGTTGTATAACTTTCAATTCTTTTACAGGTAAACCTGAAGAAGCCATGTCCTTTCTGGAATGACATCAACCAATGTGGGAGAAGAGACTGTGCTGTCAAACCCTGTCATTCTGTAAGAACTGTCCCAACTGTTTCCATTCTTTACATATTTTCAAGGAGGGCGATTATTAATCAAATTTTAATTTGATCCTGTTTAAATATATCATTCGTTATACATAAATGAATATCATAGGTTTATAATATGTATATAAACCTAAACTTACAAATATAAAAGCTACTTATTTGTTTGTGTGCTGATGCATGGAGTGACATTGAGACTAGAGGCTGACAGTCAAGTTGCTTCCTCTAAACTTTTCACTTTAATTCTGAACCTTGTGGTTCACCGATGAGGCAGGACAGCTGCTTCCTCCAGTTCTGGGACTGCAGCCGCTACCCCTCCAGCCTGACTTCCTACTAGACTCAGGTTCTCATGTTTGTGTGTGAGGCATTTTACTGACTGAGCTGTCTCCCAGCCCCATAAAATCTATTTTGAATCATAATGTCTTCATGGTACAATAATAATAACAACAACAATAATAAATAGTTACATATAATAATAACAGTAATTATACATAATAATAATTATTATTACTGAAACAGGATCTTTCACTATGTAGTCCTTGGTGGTCTAGAACTTACTATGTAGATAAGGCTGTCCTCATATTTGGGAGATCTGCCTGCATCTGCTTCCCAAGTGCTGGAACTAAAGGTGTTAACCATCATGCCATTTTTTTTAAAGTAAAAATTAAGTTTTTATGGTTAATACACTTATTTTTTTATAAAGTCAAATTAATTTTTTATTACATTTTTGTTGGTGGTGAGGGGGTGGCGTGCCTCTCACTTGGGGAGGTCAGAGACCACTTGCTGGGATGAGCCATCTCTTCCCACTGTGTAATTCCAGGGACTGAGCCCAGGCACTTATGCCTGGTACTGGATCCTTTAACCCCTGAGTCGTCTTGCTGGCCCTGTACCATTTTTCTTTTTATTTAAGTGATTCCTTCCACTCTGGTTCCTTCACTGCCTATCAAGGTAATGCAATCTTTCGATTTATTTATTTGTTAGAGAGATTAATTGTTCTTTTGGCTTGATATTTGTTTTCCTTTTGAAGTTTGAAGTATTCTGTGAAAGCAGAGATTTGCTTTTTTCACACATTCAAATGATGCAGGTTTTTACAAGTATATAGGACTAGGGGTGTAACCCAGTGGCGGAGCTCTTGTCTAGCACGAATGAGTCCCTGTTGCCCTGATGCCAAGCACCACCAAAAACGTCTGTGTTATCATTTCACATTTCACTTGACCACTTCAAGCTGACATTAAGTACATGTATATTGTGCAGCCATCTTTACTGCCCATTTTTGATCCCCCTCACACACTGAAACAGACTGTGCTGCTTAAATTCTAACCCAGCCCCTCTCATCCTATTTTCTTTTTTCAATCCAGTTTGACTGTTTTAGGCACCTGCCATAAAGGGAATTATATATTTGTGCTTTTATATCTGGTTTTATTTCACATAGTATATTTATTTTAAGTAAAGGATATAATATATATCAGAATTCTAAGAATGAATCAGTGTATTGCTGAATGTCTAGATTTATATCTGTATATAAACCCATTAGTGCTTTACTATATATAGTAGTATATGTCCACTCATCTGCCGCTGTTCAATACATCTGTACCACTGAGGCATATCTCTAGCCTTTAAGATTTTCTTAGTATATATCTATAAGTGGGTTTGTTGGATTGTGTAGTAACTAAAAATTTTGAGGAATGCAAAACTGTCTTTCATAGTGATTGTAGCATTATATGTTTTTATCATTGACACCCAAGAGTTCCCATTTCTTCACTTCTCCGAAGTTCCACTACCTTTCAAAGTGTCCCCTGGGTGCGAACTTTTAACACTTGGGCCTTTTGGGAATGTTCAAAGCACAACAGTTACTATGTGAAAATCTGGCATATCATTAAGATACTATCAGCTTAAATATTTAATTTCTAAGTTCTTAAATGTATCTGTTGTTTTTTGTTTGTTTGTTTGTTTTTGTTTTTCGAGACAGGGTTTCTCTGTGTAGCCCTGGCTGTCCTGGAACTCTCTCTGTAAATCAATCTGGCTTCAGACTCACAGAGATCCACCTGCCTCTGCCTCCTGAATGATGGGATTTAAAGGCTGCACCACAACTTCCCAGCTCACTTATGTTTTTTATAATAATAAAATAGCAATAGGAAGAAAAATAGTTGGGGAAATTTAAATATATTAGTGTCTGAGGAATTGTGGTAAGATGTGGTAGACTCAGTTTTATCAGAATGAGAATTTTCCTGTGAGTCTAGTAGTCTTGTTTCTTAGACTGATAGAATGTTTGCCTTTTTAAAAAACATGATACCTTCCTGTTGATCTAGTGGCAGCTAGGGGAAGAGCATCCATTGCCTTCATTTTACCCATTGAAGAGCCCATTAGGCTCCAACTCAATCCTGACCCATAGTCCTACAGATGTCCTGTTTAAACTCAGTGTGTCTCAAAAAAAAAAAAAAAACCAAAAACAAGATCATGAACATGGGGAGGGCTTTGCAGGGAGGAGGGGAGAAAAAGACGAAGAAGTGATATTAGGATGCATGTTATATGTATATGAAATTTTCATGAATAAATTAATAATATAAGTCAAAAAGAAAAACCTAACATTCCCACCTCAAAATATTCTTATTTTATAAATATAAAATTGGCAGAGAAATGCCATAATGTAGAAAGATAACATAGTTTTGGAGGCATGAGAAAGGAAAATGAGATGAAGAGACTGGTAAAGATACCAATTAGCATGTGATTTGAACAATGAATATTCTGTGTGGGTACATAGGGTGCCAAGTCTTGGTTTTATAAGCTTAGCTCTGCCCTTGAGTTTGTGGTTTAGTAGAGAGGAGAAACACTAAATTGACCCTTTCAACACACATTTCACAGCCCAGTTACAAAGTATCTGAGCTATACATGCTAAGAACAGACAAGCAGGATCTATAGGTCCTCAAGTGACATTGAGGACATGAAATACTTCCACTCCCTGCAGACAAGCCTGTATTTTATCCTAATGCTTCCTAATAGGCTGAACTATAGGGACTCAAGAGTGACTAAAGAATATGCATAGGCCAGGTGGTGGTGGCACAGGCCTTTAATCACAGCACTTGTGAGGCAGAGGCAAGAGGATTTCTGTGAGTTTGAGGCCAGTTTGGCCTATAGAGTGAGTTCCAGGACAGCCAAGGCTACACAGAGAAACCCTATCTCAAAAAACCAAAAAAAGAAAGAAAAGGGAAAAAGAGCACACATGGATTTGGGATGTTTGCCACAGCCTAATTGTCCCCTGTACCTGCATTTATATTATACACCACAAGAGTGATAGAATGCTTGTAAACAGTTTATATTTCCATGGTACACTACATGATCAGCAGTCTATGGGCCTTGAATTTTATTTGCCCACTTTTTGAGAGATCTTATTTCATAGCTCTTGCTCAAAGACCAAGCTGGTCTCATATAGATATCTATTGGACGGTTAGGATTAAAGCTGTGTGCTACCACACCCATTGCATTTTTATTTGCTTTAAAGAACTTATTTAAAATCACCTAATTCTTCTCACTTGAAGATAGTCTCCAGTAATTTATGAATTTACATCATAAGAATTTAAAATATTTTTTTGAAGATAAAATAAATGTGTTTCTTTTTCAGGATGAAGTTCCTGATGGAATTAAGTCAGCAAGCTACAAGGTATGCATATAAACTTACTGATGTGACTGTTATCTATGAAAATCTTAGAAAATCCTCTTTCCTGCTCTCCGCAGTGACATACCTTGGACGCTAGTTCATATTAAAAAGTTTTTGCTCCTTTTAAGAAAATATATATAAGTAAATAAAATATTTAAGTAAAAGTAGTAGATGGAAACCTACTTACCCATTATCCAACAGTTATTAGTGATGGCCAGTTTTGCTTCATGTGTATTTCCTACTCCACTTTCCCCATCATTTTAAGGCCAAACTCAGATAAATCTTTTTGTTTAAGAGCGATGCAAAATTAGAGCATTTCAGAATTAGGCTAAATGCCATTCAAAATTTTCTCAAAAAATAGAACTCATGAAACATTTTGCTTAAAACATCACACATATTTATGTGTAATGAGTATTTTCTCAGAAAATGTCAGCAGAGAAGAGTCAGCTGAGGTTATTGGTAATTTCAAATAGATTAATCATCAAATATAGTTTTGAAGAAGACTGTGATCAATTTTATAGAAAATTTAAAATAGTAAACTATTGAAAAAAATGTTCTTCAGAAACATTTCCATAAATGTAATTAGAAGCTGAGTAAATTACTAAATGGTACTAAAAAGTTACTTTAATTTTAAAAATTCAGATAAGGGTTTAAAAGTTTTTGTTTTAGTATATATACATAGGCACATGATGCTTTTTTTGAGTAAATTTAAAAGCATATTAGGTTGTTTGGCATGTGTATGTATGTGTGTGTCAGCAGGGCCTCATTTTGGCAACTTGGACACCATCTTTCAGACTAGTTAGTTCTCAAGTTTCTGGTTATGTCTGTCTTTGGCTTACATTACTGTAGGAGTGCTGGGATTATAGATGCTATTGCATCTGGCTTCTTACATGGCCTCCGGGGAACAAGCTCATGCTTGCATGACAAGGGTGTCTATCTGTTAGACCATCTTTCAGGGCCTTTGATGTTTATTTGAAATTTTGTTTTCTTTTTTTTTCCTTTCTTTCTTTTTTTTTTTTTTTTTTTTTTTCAAGACAGGGTTTTCTCTGTGTAGCCTTGGTTGTCCTGGAACAGGCTGGCCTCAAACTCAGAGAGATCCACCTGCCTCTGCCTCACAAGTGCTGGGATTAAAGGTGTAATTTTCTTTTCACATAATTTTAAGTGCATGGCTGTACTACCTTGAACATGCCAAATCTTGTCTGAAATAATTTCCAACTTACAGCAAAATTGTAAGGTTAACATAAAAAACATTTTGTATATGGTAATCCCTGATTTTTACATATTTTAGCACATTTGTTGTGTCATACTTTTTCTATATAGAATTCTGATGATTGCAGGTTAAGTAGATTGTATATTTTTACTCTTTAATATTTAACTATGTATCAAAGAATTTGAGTTTCAAGAAGCTTTTTTAAAAGTTGAACTGTTTTATATATTAACTGAATATAGTGAAGCACAGTTGTCAGACAATAAATATATATTTCAAAAAATCCAATCACTCAGTTATTTATGTCCCCTAAAAGCTTAGTCATTTCAGTACTTTTAGTATCCTAGAGTGGGCAGAAATCCTGTGGTCATCCTAACAAGGCAGTTGTAGGTGTTCAGTAAACATTTATTTATGGCCTTCATAGTTTTAACATTTAATGGCAATGTTCTATAGTCTCATGAGCTTGGTCTGTGCTGTGCACACACCTGCTAGAAAAAAATGTATGTGTGCATGTTTAGACAGACATCAAGAAGAAATAGGGTAGGCAAAGCATGTGTTTTAAATACCTAAAGCTATTAGCATATTTTCTATAACGTGCTCTTCCAGTTACTGCATGGGAAAGAGTTGATATGTACAATCTGTCTAGTACCACCCTGCCGTCAGGGAAGAGGAAGCCGGCACTTATGGTCAGGTCACTAGGACTCTGCCTTTTGATATATAGCATGACTTCCATGTATCACAGAAATTTTCCTTGTGCATGTCTCAGTTGCTGTTTGTAAGTGTGATATTCTTTATTTTGTGAACATAATAGTGAGTTTGAGGCCAGCCTGGTCTACAGAGTGAGTTTCAGGACAGCCAGAACTACACAGAGAAACTCTGTCTTGAAAAAAAAAAAAAACAGAGCATTTTGTAGGCTTTGGAGCTTGGTTGATAGTGGTAGGTAGCATGAGCCTTGGCTAACTATTAATTTCACAAAATGTTGCTTAAGGCTGCATGGTCCATGCCTGTAATCCCAGCATCCAGGAGGTTAAAGCAGGGAGGTTTTATGACTTTGTCTCAAAAACAAAAGTGGAACCAGCAGTTTTAAAATGTAGGAAATCTGTTTTCTGTCCCTTTAGTATTCTGAAGAAGCCAATAACCTCATTGAAGAATGTGAACAAGCTGAGCGGCTTGGAGCAGTGGACGAATCTCTAAGGTGATTTGCTCTCCGAGCTACTTTTGTTTTTCTTCGTCACAGTTGACTAGAAAAAAAGAATAATGCAATTTTCCTTATTTGAAGTGAGGAAACCCAGAAGGCTGTTCTTCAGTGGACCAAGCATGACGATTCTTCAGACAGCTTCTGTGAAGTTGATGGTATGATTGTTAACATGTTCATTACACTCCCAATGATGTTCCTGCTCCCCTCCCTCCTTCCTTCCCTCTCTCTGTCCCTCCGTCCCTGCCTCCATCCCTCTCTCCCTCCTCTTTGTTATATTAAGCATTAAACTCAGGCTTTGGATATGATAGGTCAGTGCTGCTCCAGATGCTGCCCCTCATCAATTCTTTTAGTTATTTTTAAATCTCAGTACTAACAGTGTGACAAGTCCTCAGAAAGCTAAACATAGAATCATAGGACTTAGCAGTGGCATTCCTAGGTATTTAACTCAAAAGAATTGGAGAACGACTCAGACAGGTAGACCAGTATTCATTCATAGGAGACACAGGTAAAATGGTCTATGTGTCTACCACTAGATGCAAAAATAATTGAAATGTATTAAGTATATATCATACAAATACACATGAATACTACTGAGTCATAAGAAGCAGGGAGTTTCCAACAAATGCTACAGTGTGGCAGAAGGCAGATACAAAGACAAGTATGGTGTGAATCCACTTGTGAACTGTCTGGTACAGGCAAACTCATAGCAACAGAAAGTAGGTTAGTGGTTAGTAGATGTGCTGGGGTGGCATATGGAGAGGTCATTGTTAAATGATCATACTTTCTGTTCAGGGCTATGGAAAAGATTTGGAAACAGAAAATGGCAATGATTACACAGCATTGTGAATGTAACTCATGGTTCACTGACTATGGTGGAAAATGCTAATTTCATTATATGTATTTTTACCATAGTAAAAAGAAAATTAATTAGTTTCTGTAAAAAAATTTACCTCTTATGTTTTGTTGTTTTATGTGTCAGGCAATTTACAGTTCTGTATCTTTTGCATTTTGCAAAAGTAGTTAAAATGTAGGAATGAGGAAAATGTCTTCTGTAAATGATGCTGGACCGTTAACCTTTTCTGTGATGATGGTCTCTGTGGTTTTGGTGCAGAGAATATTGAACCATGACATCATGTCTGCAGCTGGCGCTGAATTTGGCAGCCTTAGACCACATTAGTCCTTGGATCAAGATTTATTGATCTAGTTCTTTTTCTAGTATCTTTTTTTTTTTTTAATTTGAATTGTTGACCTCTGAATTGGCTAAGCAAAACTAAATCAAATTTGAATTTTGGCTCTTTAGTAGTGAACTTTTAGAAAGTTAGTGAAAAGAGCCAGACGTTGATGGTGGACACCTTTAACTAGAGCATTTCAGAGGCAGGTGGATCTTTTGGGTTCCAGGACAGCGAGGGCTACAAAATGACAAAATGAGACCCTGTCTCAACCTGTGTCCTTCCCCCTTACCCCCCCCCAAAAAAAAGATAAAGGGCTTTTAAAATTATGTGACTTTTTTTGGGGGAGGAGAGTTTTCTGTAGTGGGATACATGCCATGTTTTGACATGTGTGTCTTGTCTGTGATTTTGAGGGTTTTTTTTTTTTTTTTTTTTTTTTTTACTGTTTTCTTGTTTTTGCTTTTTGAGACAGGACAGCCCTGGCTGTCCTGGAACACACTCTGTTAGACCAGGCTAGCCTGGAACTTAGAGATCTGCCTGCCTTTGCCTCCCAAATCCTGGGATTACGACTTGCACCATCACCTCCTGGCTGTTTTTTCTCCTGTTTGGGATCAAACCCAGGGTTTTCCCTGTGCTAGGTGGCTGCTCATCTGCTGAGCAGCACTCTCGTCATTCCCACTAGTGAGTGATGAGCTGCATGCTACCGTGGATGGAAACATTCATTGTTTGGACAGTTTGTGAGCATTGACTCACATATTTTCTTAAACTCTAAAGTTCATGTATTCCTATTCTTACCACTTACAAGATGAGAATTCTTTGCAAACGTTGTGTACAGTGGATGTGGCTGTTTGTTTCTCCCTATTTTCCTTTCTCCTAAAATGTTCTGAAATAGGAAAGATTTGGTTTTTATCTCGCAGATATACAGTCCCCTGATGCTGAGTATGTGGATTTACTCCTTAACCCTGAGCGCTACACAGGCTACAAGGGGCCCGATGCTTGGAGGATATGGAGTGTTATCTATGAAGAAAACTGTTTTAAGTATGTATTATTTTCCTAGATTTGTGCAGATCAGGTTCATATCCTTAAGAGATCATTTGGACAAAGAAACTTAAATGCAGTAAATCCTGTTCTCCCGGGACACTGGCTGCAACAAATACTTCTTTAAAGACTTATGTAATATGGGCTGGAGAGATGGCTCAGAGGTTAAGAACACTGGCTACTCTTCCAGAGTCCTGAGTTCAATTCCCAGCACCCACATGGTGGCTCACAACCATCTGTAATGAGATCTGGTGCCCTCTTCTGGCATGCAGTCATACATGCAGACAGAACACTGTGTACATAAGACTTAGATAGTATTAGACCTTATTATGATGGGAACTTCTGAGCAAACATTCCTGAGTGGCTTACAGGATCTCCTTATGTAGATGAAGTAATTTGGAAGTAAGGGCTTTGCTTCATTTACCAAGATCACTATAGCCAGTGTTGGGTTGGCTCAGAATCTACGGTTTAAGATTCTTTTCATTTCTCTCTGCTCCCCTTTCTGTGGTCACAGTTATTTTACCCTCTAAACGTTAAATGATTTCAGAGAACAGCTCCAGGTTGACATTTTGTGTACTCACTGTATGCTATGGTCTGTGTTAAACGTGCCATGGACTTGCTCCACTAGTTTTTATGGTAACAGTTTATTATAGTCATAAGTGCTTGCAGATGGAGATCTAAGACAAAGCTAGATATTTGTCCAGTCCCTAGGGGAAGCTCCCTCTTTATGTCCTTAAGCAGTGCAATGGACGTTGATCATTGGGTGACTGAGAAATGCCTATGGTTCTTTACTTGGAAACCTGAAGGCTCTGAAGAATGTACTAGTTCACTTTGGGGGAAAAACCTGTGTGTGCATTTGCGTGTGCATGTGCATGTATGATTCTCTCAGGGACAAAAGCTCTTCATGATAACACATTTTACTTTCAAAATCTGATATAATTATAATACTGTGGGTAACACTGGTGTTCAAACAGTGCAATTCTTTTGTTTGTAGGCCACAGACAATTCAAAGGCCTTTAAATCCTTTGGCTTCTGGTCAAGGTGAGTTCTTTTCATCTTCTATTGTTTATTGGCTAGTGAACTTGGGTTAGAGTGGAGAGGAAGTAAAGGTTAAGTGGCAAGGGCAGTTGAGATCATGTAGTTCTCTGGTCCTGTTTCTAGAAGTTATGTCTCGCCCTTGTGAGGATATATCATGGTGTTAGGCCATTGTAATATGAAGATTAGGTAATGTATTTTGTATTTGTTGTCTGTTTTTGTAACGTACTAAGTAGTTGTTTACTTCAGTTTTATTTACCCTTCAAATAAATGAATATCCCAAACATTTACCTAATTTTTCAAATAACTTGAGCTAGGGAGGAAGTTTAATGGTACAGGGCTTGGTCACCATATCTCAGGCCCTGGGCTTGACTCCCAACCAAACAAGAAACAAAACAAAACAAAAATAAATGATGTTAAATCCTATTCATATTCCATATAGCCTTTGTATCTCACTGACAGTTTTCATTGTTCATCTACACTCAAAATCTGGTCTAAATGCTGCTGCCTTTCCCAAAATATTTTCCTTCCCAAGTGGAAGTCATCTTTGGCTCCTTCTGAAGTAGTCTATGCTGTTTGCTTCCTTCATATAACCTGTTGACTGGTAGCATCATTCTGATACACACACATACACACACACACACACACACACACACACATGCATATATGTATAGCATATATAACATATATATGTATGTATGTATCTATATCCCTTAGTGCTTTGGGATATGGGCAGCCATTATTTCAACATAGAGCCTGATAATTATGGAGTAAGTTGCTAGGTAAATGATTGTGGAATTTGTTTTCCCCATTGAGTAATTTCTTTAAAGGAATTAGAGAAATTGGTGTGTTTTAAAATTTCAGTAGAACAGTTTGATTTTGGATACTGTTGGGCTCAGGGAAAAGATTAACTTATCCTTGCAGCAAGTGGTTCTTCACCATGTGCCTGGCATTGTGTAGATGTCAAGGGTATGTGCAGCAGGTAATAAGAGTCTATGGAATCAATTGTTTCTACATACAATTTCTAATTTTTTTTTTAAATTACATAGCCTTATTATCTTAGTTACTTTTCTGTTGTGAAGAGATATCATGATCAAGGTAATTATAAAAGAAAGCATTTAGGGAAAAAAAGAAGGCATTTAGTTGATGGCTTACAGTTTCAGAGGGTGGTAATGTCCATGACCGTCATGGTAGGGAGCGTGGCAACAGGCAGGCAATGGTGTTGGAGAAGTGGCTGAGAGCTCACACTTGATCCATAAGCACAAGGTAGAGAGAAACCTAAGCTGAATGTCTGGGCTTTTCAAACCCTAAACACCACCCCCAGTGACACACCTCTTTGGACAAGGCCACACCTTCTCCAACAGTTTGGAAACCAAGCATTGTAACAGGAGCCTTAGGGACCGTCTCATTCAAGCTACCAGTTATTTTCCTACAGTATGGATTTACTGATAAAATCTTTGAGCCGGGAGGTGATGGTGTACACCTTTAGTCTCAACACTTGGGAGCAGAGGCAGGTGGATCTTTATGAGTTCAAAGCCAGCCTGATCTACAGATTGAGTTCCAGGATAGCAGGGCTACACAGAGAATCTCTGTTTCAAAACCTTCCCCACCAAAAAAAAAATCTTTGCACTTTCACCAAATATGTAAGGTTTCACTTAGTTCATTTGAAAAGATGTTGATGTCACATACCCAGTAAGCACACACTGGCTGCTGGCAGGCAAGTTTTTCTTTGGAAAGAAAGAACGTTTTAGGTTGTATACAGGTGAAGTGCAAATTCATAGATAAGTGTTTATTAAGTACTCACATTGTGGCTTAATTATCATCACCCATATTAGTCAGAAAGCCAGCTACATGATATATGTGCAGAGATACAATATAATACACCTGTAACAAACATTGTTATCAATTGTATTCATTTAAATAAAGGATGATCAATAGCACAGTGAAGGAAAAAAGCATATATGAAAACAGCATCTATAGTTTATAGAACATTATCCCTGAATAACTACACATACACACATACAATCACAATTTTAAAGACATAAATGATGTTTGTCTTGGGAAGGCATACTAGGACCCAGGTTTAGTTCCCAGTGTACACGTGCACAGCTCAGCCATCTTACTCTAGTTCCAGGAGATCTGATATCCTTCTCTGATCCACAAGGGCACAGATGTTAATGTGGTACATACATGCAGAGAAAACACTGATACCGATGGCATTGGAGGTGCACACCTTTAGTCCCAGTGCTCAGGAGGCAGAGGCAGGTGGATCTCTGTGAGTTCGAGTCCAGCCTGGTCTACAAAGCAAGTTCCAGGACAGGCTCCAAAGCAATCCAGAGAAATCCTGTCTTGAAAAACCAACCAAACAAACAAAAAATTAAAAAAAAAAAAATTGTGGTGAGTATGTGTTTAACAAACAGCGATGGTGTTAAAGGAAAGCACAAAGTGAACCTGATCTATTTTTGAAAGTTTTATATTATGACTTTTGTGCTTTTTTTTTTTTTAATGGAAATCTTATTTTTTTTCTTTCTTTCCTTTTTTTTTTTTTTTTTTTTTTATGGAAATCTTTTTTTTTTCTTTCTTTCTTTCTTTTTTTTCTTTTAAGGAAATCTTTTTTTTTTCTTTCTTTTTTTTTTTTTTTTTTTGTTTTTTTTTTTTTAAGGGGGGGTCGTTCGAGATAGGCTTAGCTCTGGCTGTCCTGGAACTCTAAAGCCCAGTCTGGCCTCAAACTCACAAGAGATCCTCTTGCCTGTGCTTCTTAAATGCTGGGATCAAAGGCGTGTGCCACCACCACCCACCCGTCTGTTTGTGGGAATTCTGTGTGTATGAATGAATGTGTGTGTCTGTGTCTATATGTGTTTCTTATTCTTTTTTGAGGGGGCTTTATTTTTCTAAAATCTGTTTGTTTTATCCTATTCAGGTTTCTTTTTATTTTATCCTATTTTATTTTTTATATGACTTTTTGTTGTTTAATGCGAGAAAACAAGAAAGGGTGTGGATTTGGATAGGTGAGGGATTGGGGAGGGTCTGGGAGGAGTTAGGGGAGGGGAAAACCATGATCAGAACATATTTCTTAAAAAATATTTTCTCTTTAAAAATATATAACCTAAAAAATGAAAATGAGGACAAAATAAAGATGATATTTCAGGAGTAAGTAAGTGAGCAGCTGCATACAAACTGCTGCATTTTGAAGCATTTGAATTTTAATCTTTGAAAAGGTTAAATCTTCGGTTGGTCTGGGGATTCAAAGCAGCGGTAATACAGACCTTGAACAAGAATCATGTTATAGTGTTAGGATAATAAACGAACAAATAAACATGGGTTCTTCCAACAGTTCTCAGAGGTTTGCACTTTCCTCTCCTGTGAGCACATGTGAGCCTGTGATCCTGAACTTCGGCTGGGCGGAGGTGTGGCTGTGGAGTTCCCATTGACTTTACTGGTGTGGTTGCACTGATGGACTAAAATGAATCATTGCCAATGTATTATTTTCATGTAATTGTAGCATTATTGAAGTTGTTTATAACAATTACTGTTGTGTTTTGTTTTTCAGGAAAAAGTAAAGGTATGTCCCTTTATCAAGCATTATATACATCGGGTCTGTTTGTATGTTCAGATGTGTGTTCTGATGTGCACTGTGGCAAAGTGCATTTCTTCCCACTTCCTCTGACACACAGAATATCTCCTCCTCTTGTCAGTATAGAGATATCCATAACCCAGGAGCTCCTTGTCCACTCCCCATTCTATTTCTTTATGGCATAATTCTGAAACCAGAATGACTAAGCTTTTAGTATCATTAGGTCACAGAACATGTGCAGAGGTTTTTAGCTGCTCTACTCTGTTGCTCTTTGAATGTAGTGAACTGCATGAAATTCTGTTTCTTCTTAACTTGAAAGTATGTGAAAGTCCTTAATTTTTTTAAAGCGCAGATTGCTATGAAAACTTAGCTAGTTAAGCAATCTAGCAGTCTGAGCTAGTTAAGCTGTGTGTGTGTGTGTGTGTGTGTGTGTGTGTGTGTGTGTGTGTGTGTTACTTGTGGGAGAGGGGCCTTAGGGATGGAACCCAGGAGTCATGAACATGGTAGCCAAGAGATGTACCAAAGAGTGACATTCCTCCAGGCTCCCATTTCTACAGTTTGACAACATAAAACATTTTATCTAAAAAGTTGGGAGAGAGGGTTTGAGGGGGCAGAACACTGCTAAACTGGATCCACACCCAATCTTTTCCTTTGAAGAAATTGTAAGATTTAAATCATTAGCTGGAACAGTCTTTAAAACACTAGAACATTTACATTTTGGTGTTATGAAAAAATATGACTTATTTTTCTTTTCATTTCAGAGAACACTTTTTACAGCTGGCTAGAAGGTAAATTAGAAATTTTAAAACAAATTTAAATGGTAATTTTTTTTTTCATTTTTAAAGACATGAAGTAAATCTTAAATTCCCAAGATTCACATATGAATTTTTATTTCTGAACCATTGATTTCTTTTAGGCCTCTGTGTAGAAAAGAGAGCATTCTACAGGCTTATATCTGGTCTACATGCAAGCATTAATGTGCATTTGAGTGCACGGTATCTTTTACAAGGTATGTACTTTTAAAATCTTTCGTACACTTGTCTTTAGGTCTTCTTACTATTGTCTTGGTGTTTGCCTGGGTGGAAAGCAGACTTGTTTGACTGTTGGGCAGTAAGAATCCACTCATAAATGGTGTTGACTAGGAATGTAGAAGCTGTGTGTACAGTTGAGTGTCTCCTTATATTATTAATTATACACATCGCTTTGGAAATGTTACTTTGTTGGCCATGGGAATTAGAATATGTCCAACAGCACAGTGTGTTACTGCATGAGAGTCTTTATTTATGTGGAGGCTTTAGTGGCCACAGCAATGTCTTCTGTTTTCTATGGTTTTGGACGCTGGTGGAAAGTCAAAGTATTTTCCTCAGCAACTAATTTCTTCTGGAATTGGGAAGTATTTTACCTTTCAGAAGTGGTAACTCTGATTTAAAATAGTGCTTTAAATTCATTAGTAATTTCAGATAGTAATTCCAAAAAATTGTTTTTATTACTAATTATGCATGTATGTGGGGTATGTGCATGTGAGTGTGAGTACAGGTGGCTCAGTAGCCAGAGGTGTGAGGCCCACTTGATGCAGGACTTATAGTCAGTTGTGAGCTGCCATGGATTCCAGGCACTGAAGGGAAGTCCTCTGGACGAGCAGCACGTGCTGTCAATTGCTTAGCCACCTCTGCAGCTTATCAAGTCATTTTAAATATATATTTTGATTTAATGATTGTTGATACTCAGAAATCTCATTTTTATCAAAAACCTGTTTGTCTTTAAGAATGGGTTACAGAAGACAAAATTCTTACTGCAGAATTTCTAAATTTTTATTTACTTTTGATGCAAGGTCTCACTGTGTAGTCTTGCCTGTCCTGGCACACTTGAACTCAGAGATTCACCTGCCTCTGCCTGGAATTAAAGGTGTACACCACCATGTCTGGTTTGTGGAGGGATTTTTAAAGGCTAAATTATAAAAAAATGTTTTTCTTGGTTGAATTATGTATTTTAAACTACAAAATGAAATTGACTTCTATAAATATAAATAGCCTCTTTTAATTAAAATGAAAATTACTTAAGTATACACTTGAATTATTTATCATTGTTCTTTCCTTTTAGATACTTGGCTGGAAAAGAAGTGGGGCCATAATATCACCGAGTTTCAGCAGCGCTTTGATGGGATTTTGACTGAAGGAGAAGGTCCCAGGAGGCTAAAGAACTTGTACTTCCTCTACTTGATAGAATTAAGGGCTCTATCTAAAGTGCTTCCATTTTTTGAGCGTCCAGATTTTCAGCTTTTCACAGGAAATAAAGTTCAGGATGCAGAAAACAAAGTGTTACTTCTGGAGATCCTTCATGAAATCAAGTAAGTTCTATATGCTACAATGTATATATACATTAACACATAGGTGAGGGATGGTGTCCAAAGTAAACCATTCATTATTTAATTAGAGAAGGAAACCATCTTTAAAATAATGTAAGTATAGTTCTGTTCACTGGACTTTTAAGGTTTTTTGTTTGTTTGTTTGTTTAAGATGGTCAAATTCTCCTGCCTCAGCCTGGGTGCTGGGAATGTAGGTGTGCATTGCCACAATGGGCCTTCCCAGATCTTTTAGAATTTCTTGGTTTGCTTTGATCTGTGTATTGTAACTTGTTTTTTTTTTTTTTTTTTTTAAGTTCTTAATATCAGCATTATTTTTATTTTCACAGTCTAACTTTGGGGCCAGACTTCTAATTTTTAGGATAAGTATTTTGCATTGTTGGTGTTACTGATTTTTATTCTGTTTTAACTATATTATTTATAACTGACTTTCAACACTTATAATACATGAACATGACTCTTCTCTGTTTAAAACACAGGTCATTTCCTTTGCATTTTGATGAGAATTCTTTTTTTGCTGGGGATAAAAATGAAGCACAGAAACTAAAGGTAATTATGCTTCCAACTTAGTAGTTAGGAACAGCCTGGTGAGTCTGCAGGTGTGAGTGTAGAGTCACTGTTACTGGAGGTCCAGTAGAGTGGTACTTATGAGAGCTGTAGGAGATGGACTGGGATGGGAGGGAGCTCTTGGTCACAGCACTGAGTTTCTGTGGGGGGTCTGTAGTGGCCTTTTGCTCAGTAGGGTGATTAATAAATAGGCATGTGTTATATATTTCACAACTGTTAGAGTAGAGCCAACGTTTTACTACAAAAGGGTATGTCAGGTTATGAACTTGTTACCTTGGTTTTATTGTTCCATATGGAATAATAAATATCAAAGTATCATAGCACCCCATAAGCAATGTGATTGTCAATTAAATACATTTAAGATATAAATAGGTATTTATACCTAATACTGGATCTTGACTTGTAGCTCAGTGGGTTTGCTACATCTGTAGCTCCCTTTTCTTCAGCCCTTAAGGGCATATACTGTATTTAAATGATTGGATGCATACTGCTCTATTACAAACAATGTAACACTCTGGTATTAGTAGACACATAACATTTATGAAATGTGTAAAAGTATAAGTGGAACAACATCCCAAATTTAGCATAGTAGCAGGGGATAGGTACAAAAAGTAGAATGCTATCTATGTAGGAGTTTCAATTATATTAGTAATGATTCCTTTAAGAATTTGGTGGTGCATATGTGGCTATTATATTTTGTATATCAGTAATATCAACATTAAAGAAAAATCTGAGTGGTTTTCTTAATTCTAGGAAAGGAGAGCTATAATTGAACTGTTATCAAAGATCACCTTCCTCTTTTCTCCTTTCTTTACCCTGTTAGATACCATTTAATTCCACAACTCCCATTATTGACGTATAAAATTAAATGATTTGTATTTCTTTTTGGGTAGTGTGGATTTGGAGTGAGGCAGGACTGGTTTCAAAATATGCAGGTCACTAGGGGTGTGAATTTTGGCCTGCTATTTAACATGTCTGAGTCTTTTAAAGAAATTCATGAGGAGTAGATCATATGTAGTTTTGTATTCATGGGGAAGGTTAGATGATAGGGGGGATTCTGGTATGTGTAGATGCCCCGTGTACACTGCTCTTTGTTTGGTGCCCTTGTTTACACTGTCCAAGGTTGAGCATATGGAAACTATGAGGAAAACAATTCTTAGTTGGTTGCTGACATATATAACTTACATAAAGTTATGTTAAATTGTTTTTAGGAGGACTTCCGACTACATTTTAGAAACATTTCGAGAATCATGGATTGTGTTGGTTGTTTTAAGTGTCGACTCTGGGGAAAGCTCCAGGTAGGTATTGCTCAGTCATCATCTTCACTTTTTTGTTGAGGCATTTTCTTATTTGTCCTTCTTTCTTCTTTCTGTTTTAGACTCAAGGTTTGGGTACTGCTCTGAAGATCTTGTTTTCTGAGAAACTGATAGCAAATATGCCAGAGAGTGGACCAAGTTATGAATTCCAGCTAACCCGACAGGAAATAGTATCACTGTTTAATGCATTTGGAAGGTTAGTTTTAATGTACTGATATTGTTTCTGCTAGCCAACTAAGTCTGATGTTAATAGGTACATTTTTTCAAGTAAAACTAGGAATGTCCTTTTTACTAAAATTATCTCATTATAGAATTATATGATCTGATAAAATACCTTTAGAATATATTCACATACAGTTACTACTTATTTCCATCTATTAGTTTTTATATTCACATTTAATTTACTGACAGATTTATGTAGTTAAATTTGTACTGTTTATTATAATTATTTTGTACATTCATACGTACATGTATACATGGTATTTTTTTTAAATTTACTTTATATAACAAAGTCCATTTAAATGAAAACAAACATTTATAGACAATATTTGGGAATTTGGGCGTTCTTTCCAAACTACTTCCTGTTGGTAAGGGGCGCTGTCATGGGGGATTCGAAGATACATGGTATTTTGTTTTGTTCTCACTATGTAGATCTCACTATGTAGCCCTAGCTGGCCATGAGCACAGAGATCTGCCAGCCTCTACCTCCTGGGATTAAAGACATGTGCTTATTGTAATTATTTAAAATCATTTTATTGGTATCATTTTTGAAGGGTATGGAAAGTCACAAATATTTCAGTCAACTTAACATTATACAGAAAGATTAGTAATTCTTTAGAAATAATTATTTTCTGTCAAAATGATTTGAGGAAAAGCATGTGATAAGGATGCATAACACTTTGAAATGTGGATAGCGTTTCCTTCTGGCTCATGTTGCTCTGAGATTGACAACCCTTTACTTTCTTCAGTGATGGGATTGAAGCCTAGCATGCTAGGCAGCATTCTCCCATCCCCTCAATTAACATTTTTAAAGGGCTATAATTTTTTTTTCACTTAAAAATATCAAACATTTTAGGATTGAAATAATAGGCCTTAAAAATTATTTCTCTAGCATCCAGGAGCTTGACTGTTTCATTTAATTGTGTGTTCTACTTTTATCATATTGGAGAGCAAAGCTAAAGTGCATGTAAAAGGGAACATGAAAAATATAATACAGAGCAGATTTTACGATATTTAAAAATTGGTGAAATAACTGGGTCAGAAGCTTTTCTCACTCTTTGAAGATCAATAGGTTTGATCTTTGTACATTTAGTACTAAATAAAGGCATATTAGTTATTCTGTTCTTAAGTTTCTGGATACTTAAATACTTATTTTAATGTTTCTACATTTCTATATTTGTTATATATGTAATACAAATAACAAGTACACTTATGAATTGAGTACCTAAAATATCTAAGTATTTTATACTTATATATTTAATGTATCATACTAAATACTGATGTGCATTAAATACTTTAATATAGCCCTAAATATTTAAAATATGTTTATGTAATTTTACATACGTATATATTTTAACACTTCAGTATTAAAAGTTAGCTTGTGTTTGGATAATAGTATATTAGGTTTGCCTTGCCAGATAAAAACTAAAGGATATAAGTAAATTTATGTGCCTTCCAATTTATTGAAATAAACTACTTTAAAATTTTTATATACTCTAAAAATGAAAAATGATTAACAGAAAATTCATGAAAGTGTTTTTTGAGTGAAGTATTTCTTGGTTACAGGATTTCTACAAGTGTGAGAGAATTAGAGAACTTCAGGCACTTGTTACAGGATGTTCACTGAAGAGGACAGGTTGAAATGTGCCTGTTTCTGGACAGGGGAGGCCAAAGAGTGGAATCTCTCCTTGTAGCATGACTGCAACAGCCATCTTAAGCCAAACATTTCTATAAAGCTGCTTTTGTAAAAGGAGAAATACACTGTTTTAAGTAAACAACATTTTTAAAAATTGTGTTTACGTTTAATATTATTGTGAATAAAAGAAGTATTTTGATAATGTACAGATTTTAATACTAGGCAAAGGTAAGATCACCAAACTCCCATATGATAATGCTAGGTGAATGATGTCCTAAGCCTCTCAAACTAGAGTTGTATTTAAGAAGATGTGATAAAAATAAATCTAAGGTAACTGTGACAAGTGTTTGATGGTAAAAGTGTTTGATGACCTAAGGTCAACAGCCTAGAACATCAATGCATTTTCATTTGCCTCATTTGCAAAGAAAATACAGAACTCCCAGTTAGATTTGAATTTTAGATAAGCAACTAGTTTTCTTTTAAGTGTAAGTATGTTGTATGCCGTATTAGGGCTCTATTTATACTAAAAGTAATTAATCTGTTTTAAGTTCAGGTTTAACTGGGAGGCCTGTGTTTTCTTGCCTACCTTAAAATACACTGGTATGCAACATTCCTTTTAGAGTTATATAGCTATTTTGATTGTGCTGTTTTGGTATGTAGGGAGGTAGAACAACTCAAAGGCACAGGGGATTTCTAAACACTGTAGAAAGATGAATAGATTATATATTTATTCTCATAATGCTTCACCTAACAGTAAAATTTTGGGGAAAATTTTATTTTTATATAATTTCAGATTTACAGAAAAGTTTCAAAAACAGTATAAAAAAATCTGTTTTACCTAAATTCATTGATTGTTCACCTGTGTTGTAATGTCTTACCCTATCCCACACTGGGGATTGAGCCCAGGACCCCAGGTTTGGTAGGCTAGTCCTGCACCCCTGAGCTGTGTTCTCAGGCCTTGCTTTATCTTCTGTGTAGACGTAGATATCCTATTTTTATTTATTGTTTGACAAGTAGTCATGGGCATCATGCTTTAACCCAAAATACTTCAGTGTGATGTTCAGGAATTTCCAAAAAATGATTTTTTTTTTTTTAAAGGGTAAAACCAAACCTTACAAATCTGAGCTAAACAACTGTAAGTCTTAAAATAAGGAAACATCTCTCATCCTAAAGTTTGAGTTTTGTTCCCTTTTTTGACCCATGTCAAAAAAAAAAGGTATACAATTCATGTTTTTTATACATGAAACTGATTTCTTTTGCTTCCATCATAAAGTGGGACTATAACTTAGATGGGTTTTCATTAGTGAAAGTTTTTCACTGAGAACAATATTTGAAGTGGCTTAAGAATTTAGATCACATGGCAATTATAAATTCTGTATACCCCAAAATTATGCCCCCGTTATATATAATGTATGAGCAGTTAGGATAGGTTGAAATGTCACATAAGAAGAGCAAGATTTATATATGTAATGGTTTGAAATGACATTTTACACTGCTGTGTATCTTGTCTGTTCCTAAGACTTGGTCCAGTGCCAAGCATATAGTTGGTGTCTAGTATTTTTTGATTGAATATGTAAGTATGTATTTAGTATACTCTAAGTGAATGATCATATAACTTATGTTTAACAATGTGTCCGATTTTCCTTTTTCTTATTGTTTCCCCTTTTGAATAGGATAGCAAATGAAAGACATCAACCCATTAATTAAGTCCGTTTTTTGGGGGACGCATAGTACTAAATGATCACCATATACAAGGGTATTTCAGCAGCCACTGTTTGAAAACCTCACTGCTTTCACATGCTGCCTCCCATTTGATTGACCCTGTGTCCTCTGTCCCTCCAAATGAGGTCTAACAGCTTAATTTTAAGTCTATAGTTTGTAAGGATTCAGGCACTATGCTTGCCTGCTCTGTCACTTGGCAGAATGCACTCAGGTGGTACCCTGGTCAGCCCAGGTGCAAAGGATCCCTTTAAAAGAAAGACCTCCGTCCACCTCCACTCTCTTTCCCGCTTGCTTTCTCTTTCCCACTGTTCCCCTGGGGCAGACAGGACTTATCCTGTTCCCCTCCTATTTTTTGTTCTGTGTCTCTTTGCCTCTTTTCTCTTTCCTCCTCCCTCCTATCTCCCTTTCTAATAAAACTTCTCACTAAGCTCTATTTGCCTGGCATGTTTGTCCCTCTGCTTCAGTCACCCTCACCTGCCATGGGATCCAACAAGGTCCCCCTCACGCTTTGTCCTAGCACAGTTATCAAGCTGTTTCCTAATTTGAACTTTTCCCTGCACTTGACACTCCTGACAATCCCTTCCTTGAAGCCCCTATGCCTATGTGTCCTTGCCTTTCCTCTGGTCTCCTCATTTAACCTAAATGTTAATCCTCAGACTTCTTATATTCAGTCACTGTGCTTCATTCTTGGGTCATTTCCATCCAGTGATGTTCAAAGATTTTTAGCTCAGACTTCCAGTCCCTTTGCCTGCTGCACTTGCTTCTCTGTACCGAGTCTCCTTACTTGGTTAATTTCAGAACCATTGTTCAGTACAAGGTTTTACAGTTCATTCCTCTTCCTCCTAACTATTGGTGTCTGAGTTCTGCAGATTTTACTCCGACCTTTCTGATCTATCATTCTCTTTCATTTTTGTTACTGTTACCTAAAGGACTGCCTAAGTTCATTTCCTCATCTATGTTGGTCCATATTACCAGATTTGGTTTTCTAGAAGCATTCAGCCTAACACTCATGGGCAATTTTATGAGCTTGCTAGTGAAAGCCTTTACTTGGTGTCTAAGATCCTCCTCTTGTCTTTGCCACTCTGTTCTGTTAAAAGAGTGTTAAACGTTTTTCAAAAGTTCAGAGCTGGATCTCCCTCCAAACCTTGCTAGACACCATATTTGCATTGAGAGACCCAGGCTTCTCCCCCATCTTGGAAATTCCATGCAATCTTGAAATTCTGTCTTTGAATTACACCTGTCTCCTTCCTATGTCACCACTGTAATTGCAACCTACCTCTACTGAATCACTTATTGTACTGTATGTTTTATTTTTTTTAAGTGTCTTTTATTAGAATGTGAGCTCCTTAGGGGCAGGAAAAGAAACTTAATTTTGGCATTTCTATAGCATAATGTTTGGCTTTATGAGCATTTAATAAGTGTTTGTTGAATTAATTGCTTCACAGTGACAGCTGTACCTCACTGCAAGGTACAGCAAGGATCAGTAGACTTCAGGGTGGGCAATAAAGATGAAAACAATTTAAACTTTGGTGTGGTCTTTGGTCAGTCAGTCATGAATGGCGTCTACTTTAGAAACAAGCTTAAGGGAGGAAGCAGTATCAATGAGCTTCTTGATGAATGCAAAGCTGGGATTGTAGACTAGAACTAAGGTTCTCAGGAGGAGGGGGATGTTATTAACTGTTTCATGAGGAGTTAGTGTAACATTTGAATAGATGTTCACCTAATGACACCATTTAAGAACATAGTACTTTATTTCAAATAGGCTGAAATGTGTGTTGTGATCCAGATGTAATCCATTATTCACTAAAAGCAAATTCCATTTGTAATGAGATTTTTGAAAGAAACCGAATGGATTCCATTAGGGATATTAAAAGTAACACACCTCCAAATAAAATCACACTCATTAACGTAGTATTTTATTATAATTTAGTGAAACAACAAATAAATACATTCATTGGCTATACTTTTGCAACCAGTTTGAAACTGACTGTATAGCTGAAAAACACTGTTAAACAATAAAAAGGCAATTACACATAAAAAAGCCACTTATGCTATAAATTACATTGTCCATAAAACTACAATCAGCTACAATAGGTGGTTAAGAGTTTCAAAATTAATAGCAACCCAAATGTAGTAAACAATAAGAACAAATATTGCTAATCATGGTAGAATTATACACTTAAGCAATGAATTTCAACTTTCTAATTAATGATTGTGAGGAAGGGCTGGAGTTGTGTGCTTCAGTGCAGGTGGACAGGGAACTGTAGCCCTTTGACCTTATGAACAGCTCCCTCTGACCAAACTTAAAGTGCTGCTAGTGCTTTCAAATTTTTAAGCAAACACTGGGGCAGATTTCTTCTTTGGTGATGTACTGTGAAATATATCTACAGAGACAAATGTTAGGAATTTAGGTACTTTATAGGCCAAGTGTGGTGGCACAAACCTTTAATCCCAGCACTTAGAAGGTAGAGGCAGGAGAATCTCTGAATTCAAGGCCAGTCTGGTCTACACTGAGTTCCCAGGACAACCAGGAATGCATGGACTCTGAATTTAGGTCATTGAATCAGTGATACATATAATAAACCAACAAATCTCAAATTTAGTGTAGACAACCAGTGCAGTGAAAAGAACTAAGATACTTTATCTGAAGGGTTTAAGTAAACTTTGTTTTACTTTGTCAACCAGGATGTTTGTGTAGAGAAGCTTAACTAGACAAAAAATGAGTTAGATACCTAACATCAAAATAAACAACTGGCATTCTGAAAAATAAACTGGAAACAAATCCACAGTTGTAGACTATTGTTAAGTTGTCATCATAGTACCAAGGCTAACTTCTGTACTATAAAAGTTTAAATAATTTGTTACAGTAAGAACTTATAAACAAATGCTGTATATTTATAAGTATGCTTCTGATTGAATTTAAAATCAGTGTTCATAAAAAGAATAAAAGTATTTGGCTTTGTACCATCCTCTCAAAAGATAGAAAGGATTAACAATGTTTTTAAAGATTCGCATATTATACTTTTGTGAAGTTGCTGAATTAGTTAAAAAGCTGAAAGATTTTAGGTATGAGTACAAATAAGACAGTTTCTTGTCAAATAGACAGAAAAGGGCAGCTGTGTTCATCCCAGTTCCAAAGCAGCTGGCAGATCCTGTGTGGGGTCATGCCCACCAGTGTGACACCTCCTAAGCTGCCTGTCCCCTCAGATCTGAGGTATTCAGTTTCTGATCCTCATGTAGACACAGGTAGAAAATGCATTTTTAAATTGTGTTGTCTTGGCCTACTGCTCTGTGTGTGTTTTAGTGCACATGTGTGCACAAGCACACTGCTTACAGGAACATATTTAAGACAGTGTTAATGAAGTCCTAAATACCTCTTACAGTTCTCTTCTTTGCTTTTTAATCCAGTGTTGGAATTGATTGGAATTAATTTAATTTGGCTAAGCCCATATACAAGGTATAAAATGTGAAAAATAAAGGCGGTATTATACATTTTATAAAGTATTGCACTTCAGCTCACTGCAAAACGTCTTGTGATTTAATTTACCTGAGAACAGTCTTGACTCAGTAGATAGGATTTGCTCAGATCATCTCCTTTTAGATAAATTGAATACTTTTTGAAAACATACTGTTTTTAACCTAGCACTTTTTTTTTTTTTAGTGAACAATCCTTAAATGCATCTGTAAACTTGTTTAGTTAGTCCTAAGAATTTCTACTGAAACCCCCTATGCAAAAGTCACTATTGCTTCTGGAAGAATCATGCTTACACTGCTACTTACCTTAGTCATACAAAACAGCCACTTGACCAGTCCTACTCAAAGCCACACTGTCTCCACTGGCTTTTTGTTCTTGAAGAGACTACTCTGGCTTTACAAAGAACACTGCCAGCCAGCAGCACCATGGAGGGTTTCTGCTATCACTAGTTTAAAATACTGGAGTGATTTCAATTGACATTATTTTCAAGGCATGCTTTAAAAAGCTGTCTTCAGTGTTACATGTTTTTAAAAAGAATGATGCATTTTAAAGCCTTAAGTCTGTGCACTGGTCGGTCACACGTGAAAGCTGTAATTGAGTAAGGGTTCCATGTAGAGTACACCTCTGAATTTCTAGGTTTTGATTTTTGTGGAAAAACTGCCTTCACATCTGGTGTACAATACTGTTCTGTGTGAATACTCGAGTGTGGCTTTGGGGACTGCAGAGTATTCTTTCTGAACACAGGTAAAAGTGCAAATATGCAAATGTGCGTTGGACATTCAAAGTTAGGAGGTTCTGAGGTCATCAAGTACCTTAGCATCTAGTCTCTCTCCTCCAAACTTCGAATTTCACTATGCAGAGGTCAAAATGAACAGCTGTGTTTTGAGGTTCTCCACGAAACACAGCTGTATTTCCAGATTTTGCTAGTTGCAATAGATGATGCAATGTTGATGTAGATGCTTTTAAAGATGTTGAATACACATACACATTCATGAAAACCAGTTCAAGACTCCTGCTGTGGGGAAAGCCCTCAGTTTTGTGGAGTTACATACAAGCTATGGTGATTCCTTATATCTGGATTACTGCATGTAAAGAGCAAAGGAGCAGTGTCCGTTACAGGTCCATTCAGTGGGGGCGTGACTGTGTACGTGCTGCTGCTGCACCCTGCCATGGTGCCGTACCAGCCCAAACTTTGTGAGTTTGATACACTGCAGCAACAACAACAAAAACAAAACAAACAAAACAGGCAAAGAAGTCAGAGGGCTGTGATTAGAAGGCATCACACTGGCATTTTAACATTTCCAAAGAATTTCACAACATAGAAATATATTAAAATAAATGTGCAAAATAACACCGACTTTCTACACAATTTAACAGCTTCTACCTGATATCTCTGACTTGTAACACATATCACAAAAAATACATGATTCTCGGAAGTGGCAGAATGTGCCTGGCAACAGTAATATGCTCTATGTGTTACGCTTTGTTTCAGCACATCTGTATGTAAATGTACCTGTAATCCTCAATTCAAGCCAGCAAGACAGGCTCTGTTATAATCCCTACTTCACAGGTGAGACAAAGGTTAAGTGACTTGTCCAGGTGAAGTTAGAGTTATTAAAAAGAAAGCTGAGGGAGTCCTGTTGGTGTATGATAAGGCTTTCTGATAGTTATGGAACACAAGGGCGTGGGAACTGTTTTTTTTTTTTTTTTTTTGGATCTGGAGTCACACTAGGGACAAGGAAGTAAATACACATTGTACAGCAATCCTTCCCTGCCCAACACTGCATGCTCTCACTCTGAATCAATAAGGAGTCTGGAGATGATATGGTCCCATCCCATTTTATTCCTACATTTTTTAAGAACGAGTGACATACTGGCTTCAGATCAGCTGACAGTTGTTTATAGAGCAGGTTGTACCATGTGGTTAAGACCTAATGGGTTAAGCTACAGTACATGATCGTACACCAAATCACCAATTTAGTGGGTTAAAGCTCAGAGTTGTTGTTTTTTCCATTAATTTCAATACTAAATCAGCCTAAGTGACTAATATGTCTACCTTCCTTCTCGAGAGTTCCCCAGTCTTGGCAGGTCATCATCACTGTCATACCGTCTTGGATTGTCAAAAAAGAAAGCTCGGGAGCTGTAGCTGTGGCTGCTTACCATGCCAGCTGGTGCCTGTGAACACAGTGTTAGAGACAGGGTGAAGGCTAGAGACAAGAATATGGGAGTTTTAGCCTCAGATTTACTACAATAGAAACTCTGGATAAATACTCCATGCTTTAAAAAAGATGAGATTGAGCTCTGGGGAATATTATGATGTCTTACCAGATTCTGGTTTAACCTCTGTGCCCGGAAAAACAGTACCAGCGACCATGCTGGTACATGCTCCCACAGAAAGAGGACCATTCCAAAGACGATGTAGTCTCCACCACTTCCGTCATCACGAGCCTGTCCACAGAGCATGGCAGAGCAATTTCTACACTGGTTAATATTTAAGCAATCACATGCCTTGCACAAGTGCTTCAGGCTGGGTGAGTTAACATATACTAAGTATAAATACAAAAGCACTGAACTTTGCTGTATTTTGGGTGGGTTTTTTTTTTTTTTTTTTTTTTTTTTTGCGGGGGAGACTTTTCATGTAATGGTTATTTTTCCTTCAAGGAGCATAATAATACTTAAAAAACAAACAAACAAACAAACAAAACAAAAAAACTACCATAAGACAATTAAAGCATTTTCAATGCATTAGCTTAGAGAAATAATTTTAGTCCTTAGATAATGCAAAAGGATGCCATTTGAGACACCATTGTCTGAAGAGGGTTAGTTATAAGGGACTACTGTTCTAAGCTGCCCCATTGGCATGATAGCAGCCTAAGTCAGGCCTGTGGAAATATGAGACATGCTAAGTAAATCAGCACAGCTGATATTTAAAATAAGTTTTGGAGCTACTCTACATTTGTTTCTATTCTACCAGATTCTGGAAGAGGGGAAGCAGGAAAAGGATTATGGAATCACACATGAGAAGCCCATCTTCTCAGCCAATGAATGAAATAGTCTCCTAGAATCCCCCGGATTCGGGCAAAGTGAAACTAATATGGAGATACAACATTTAATTGTCAAACTGTACTTTTAGGAAGGAGATGGAGTGTGCTGAGAAGCTAAGGATGTATAGCTACAATGCTGAGAGTTACAGTAAATGGACACAAAGAACCATAAATGCTCTTTGCAAGGCTGATAAACACAGATTTTTAAGGAAAGTAATTACTTACATATATAAAACTGAACAAAGTATTAAGATTTTATGCAGTTCTTTCATTCTCACAGGATATTAGCTATATTCTCTGCCTAATGACAATTTCCTAGAGATATTAAACTGCCATCCTTTAAAAAGTTAGTAAATAGGCTTATGATTAACAGGTTTCTAGCACTATTATTATTTACAAAATAAATTATTTTTTAAAGAAAACTTTCTGAAGAGTGATTCCAAGGTGTCATATGCAAATGGGAAAATTTGAACAGTTTTAAACAGTTACTGAGAGCAGAGATGCCATAAAACCACATCGGAGCCAAACACTGAACATTCTTGCTAAGACTAACTTATCAGCTGTATCAAATGGTGGTAATATGTGACAGACACGTACCTTGTCTGAAAGATTATCCCAGCCATAATTAAATGGACTCTCTAATGTATCCTGTGATATGGTGATCACTACCAGATTATAACAAGCTCTGGAAGAGTAGAGAAGAATAACTACAGAGCCGACGACGACAGTCTGGCACAGAGACATACCCTATAGCAATGAGAAGCACAGACATAGTTTCAGCATGTTTGCTACGGGGATCGAGCTGTTCACCTGCATACAGCATAGCCAACCACCTCTTGCAAAGTCCCTCCACACCCAGAAAGCTGAGTGAGTGGACACCTGTTCAAGTAAGCTCTTGATTATTCTGCCTTAAGCCCCTGCTCCCAAATTGCATTGTGTTTAACATATGTAAGTACTTCACCCACTTGCCAAATGGCATTTGAAGTTTTTGTCTTGCCAAAGTTGCCTTATTCCTGCAGTAGTACATGAATGGACAAACTGGCCAAAGACCTGAGCCATAACTGATTCTAATAAGTGTAGTCTAATCAAAGTGGGGAAGGAGAAATGGAAGCACTAGTCCATTTGAGACCTTTCTTGTTTCTGATACAAGGCAGGAATAGAAGTTCAGCTCCTTGCATATTTACTCCATATAATATATTAGGGAATGGATGATAGTCCTTTGAATGACATTATGTTACTGAGAAAGTAATCCAGGTACTCAATTGTGCTTTAATGGTTAACAGTCTAAACTATGGCTTTTACCATTTCCCCAGACACAGAAACCCCTGTTACTTCATGGTTTTCAACTGTATTGAGTACAAGGAAGAGGCCTGTGATGTTACTGTTTGCAGGGACTCTCATCCTGGAGTCCTTATTTTAATACAGTTGGTTTCCTTCACAATCCTCCATATTTTACCAATGAGTTAAAGACATTATTCTAAGAGGTGATACCATTGCCAGAGACTGATCCATTTCAAGTAAACATTCAACATGGTAATTTGGAAGTTTTTGTTCGATTGTCACAAGCTTTAAGGGACAATTAGAACAGCACACAAGGTCCAGGGTTGCTAAATGACCTGCAAATCACAGGGTGGTACTCCCATAGCATAACTAATTTCTGACCTTTATGATATTTAAGAAGATCAGTTTATAATTATCTGGCCAGATCTGAACTCTATTTTATATGTTAACCTGTTTGGTAGCCTGTTTCCTATTTTTATTGTAATCTGAAGCCATGAAACTCCCTGCCCAGCTGAGAGGGCTCTCTTTGCTTTTTGTCCTGGTTCATGATCATAAGTATTGATGAACATCTTCCTGGAATAAGGACTTATAGCTAAGCATGGCACCTATTCAATGTTTAAACAATGCCATATGGCCCTAGTGTTACGGCACTGTTCTGCAGCCTGGGAAACAGAATTAACCTGATATAGGATTGTTTCTGGGCTGTTCTGAATTCTGACTCCATGCCAGAACGGATAAACTGCACTGCGGTTCTATGGAGTCTCTCACTGGGTGCTCTATGAGCAGAGCCCTGCCTGACTCGTAGGTTGTTAATTTCTTAACTCTTACAGCACAGGACACATTTTCTTACACGGGCACTCTTCACTGAATGTCCAATACCATAGGAATCAATGATTTCAAATACTAGAGGTTATGTCTCAGTATTATGCTCTGTGAAAGTTTAAATTCACCCTTTCAAAAAACAGCAGAAGATGATTTCAGTGACAAAATGGTCACTGGGAACAAAAAATCCACTGTGTCTCAAGTGCAGATTTTAGGACTCCAACTAGGATGTCGGATGCTAACACTTGTTCCTTTGTTGGAATTTCTCTTCTTTGGATCTCAGTAGTGAAGACCTATGGATGTTATCTTTTACCATTTTTTTTTTCAAGGACAGGGTTTCTCTATGTAACCCTGGCTGTCCTGGAACTTGCTTTGTACACCAGGCTGTACTTAAACTCAGAGACCCACCTGCCTCTGCCTCCTGAGTGCTGGAATTAAAAGTGTGCTCTACAATGCTTGGCTCTTTTTATGTTCTTAAAGTGAGTTACTCTTTGTTTATTAACTATTTGTTTATTAACTCATTGTGTATGTTTTAAAGAAAGGAGCTCTCTAAAACTTTTAAAATTGTAATAAAGGCTATATTTTAAAAATAAATTTATAATAACTAAAAAGTTTGTATAATTTATATAAATGCCCAATTTGCCAGAAGCACAAATAATATATGCAATTCCTATTATAATTATGGCAATTACATCAAACTCATTTTTTTTCAAAATTTTATCAAGAGTTCAATAGCACTAAAACCAATATTAATTGATGTATGTGAAAAATACCCAACTCTGCCACCACCCCACTCATGACTCTTTTTTTTTACAGACAAAAGCATGAACAAACTTTTTATAAAAAATTGTTATTTTATAATAAAAGTTTGAAATCACAGTTGAAACAAATCACAAAGACAAAGATACACAGAACACTCAAATCTTTGTAATGATCTACAATATTAAGTTTTCTGATTCAGTGTGGTGAATGTGAGGCTAAGACATTTGCATGATCACAGGCCTGACAGCCCATTCAAGTCCAGGTTACCTGGAGGACAGTAATTTGAATACACATTACTTTATAAACCCTCATGCATACAGTGTGCTCAATAAAAATTCCATTGAATTGTGGCCACAGAGGAACCATTTCCACCCCCAAAATATCAGCCAAATCACTAGATGGGAATAAATTATAGCAGGGCTTGGGACTCTGAGAAATTCCCTTATATTCACTCCAAAAAAAAAAAAAAAAAAAAAAAAAAAAAGATACAGTGAATTGAATAATTACTAAACACTGAAATTGTATGTACTTCTCTATCTATAATGGCTTCTTCATCATCTTTCTCAGAGCCAGATAATAAATGATTACTCCTCAATATCAATGTATCATCATATAAAAAATGCTGGTTTTGTTTGCTTGGATTTGATACATAAGATTGGATCCAGGCCCTCATATAAGTTAAGCATGAGTTCTACAACTGAGATACCACCTCCAACTTCTTTTCAGTTTTGAGATCATCACCTTATTTCACCAAAATTCATGTCTGCTCTCCAACCATAATTTTTTTTCCCACTCATGACTCTTATGGCTAGAGATAAATATCTAATTATATCATGCTCCCAAATTTTCATATTGACATAATTGTTAACTTCTTTTATTTATTTTAATTATGGTGACTACATTAAATTTTATTTGTATGGTAGGTTAAAATAGATTGATTTCAGGATAAGGACAGTTATTAAAATACTGGCTCACCAAATAAATGTGCCTGTTACCAATTCTGAGGTCCTGAGTTTGATACGCAGAATCCACATGATGGAAGGAAAGAAGACTCCCACAACTTGTCCTCTGACCTCCATACATGTGTGTGCACATGTAACATACACAATAAATAAATATAAAAAACTGAAAAGTTTGTTCATAAAAGGGTAGATAGGTTCTGGCAGTGCCGAGGTTCATTATTATAACAGATTTCCTCATAAAAACAGCATATATTAGAAGTATCTGAAAAGAAAGAACTAAAAAGCAAAACAAAATAACTTGGACAGCAGAGTTTACTCTGAGTTAACCCAGTATATTATTGTACCAAAACATTTGTTGGATAATATATGAAAGGAATAAGTTTGAAAAATATAAAGATAAAAATCTTCAGTAATATGCATTTTAATTTCTGACTCCCCCCCCATCAAGTTAATGAAAACATCAACCTACAATCAATCCAGAGTTTAAAAAATTATGAGAAAATAGCTCACTATGCTCCCTGGATGTTCTTGAACTCTTTGAGCTCTAGGAAAAATCCATCTTAGCCTCCTGAGTTGCTGGAACTACTTTGTGTCACGGCACCCTGCTTGGGTTAGATTTTAAAGGGATATATAATTGAAGAAAAGTACAGTAAGAACAAAACAGAAAGGGGTTAGAATTACATAAGTTAGCACTTTGAAATAAAATAGGCGAACTCTGCTTAAACCTGTAGTGTAGGATTGTTTTCAAGAGTAAAAAGGGCAAAGAACCAACAACAATGAAGCAATTCATAAAACAACTGATAGACATAATTATATTAAACAATGGAAGAAAACCAGGGATTTAGAAAACAAATGGGAGTTACCCCGCAAAGCTCAGGATTAAAAAATGAAAAAGGATGCAACCACTGTGTCTGCTAAAGTTCTACCAAGGTATAGAGGAGCATCATCAGTCCACAGAGCTCCCAACAGCTATTCATCACCAGCTAATCCCTAGATAAAAACACTCCCATTTCTATTTTTCAACCTAGGTCTGATTCTTTTAGAGCTTCATGTAAGGGGAATCAACAAATATGGGCTTGTTCACAGGTTTCATTCAGTTTGTGTCTCAGTCTCATCAGTAGTTACCCCAGCCATTGCTGAGGGTGACCAAGTCTTCAGGTTCTACCATGGCTTTTCCAGGTTTAGTACTTGAAAGGCCCACTCTCTAGAAAACTCTAAGCAAACTGGGGCAGTTAATTATCCTAACTTAACTGTATAATTACATCAATTTGCATATAATGACAGCCTGTTCATGTGTATTTCTGTTAATGCACAGCTCCTGTGAGCGCTCCTAATCTTTATGTGAATATATGCTTTCACTTCTTTTGAACAGACACCCAAGTGTAGCATTTCTGAGTTGTACAGTGGTAGAGTTTCAACTGCTTTGAGCAATGATCACATCTTCTTCCAGCACAGATGTATAATTTTATACTTTCAACAAAGCCTCGGTTTCAGCTGCTTCATGCAGTTGTCATGTTCTAGATCCTCTGGGGTTGGCAAGCTTTTAACTGTAGGTTTACTGCTGGATATGTAGAGATGTCTTGGTTGACTCTACCTCTCCATGATTACTAATGATACTATTTTCTTTTGGCCTTTTGCACATTTGTGAACAATCTATACGAATATTTTAGCACCTTTTAACTTAGGATGTCTTTTAAAAAAATAACTGCATTGTATAAGATTTTTATAAATGTTCAACAATAGCTCCTTTTCAGATATGTGAATTGTAAATATTTTTGAAGCTTGTGGTTTGCCTTTGTATTTTCTTACTCTTGCCTTTTGATGGTATTTTTAAATTTAATAAAGTTTAATTTATTAACTTTGTTTTTCTTGGTTATTACTCTTTAAGATTTAAATAATCTTTGCCTATGTCCAACTTGT